GAAGAGTAACAATGCTCATTAGTAAACAGTAACTATTTTCTTAAGCAAAGTTGGAAGCCTCTCTGATGCTAATTTCTCTTTTTCCTGTAATACTTTACCAGGCAGTACATTTCCCAATTGCACTGAGACTTTGGCTATCTGTGGCAAAATATATGCTACCTCCCCCCTGGAAAAACTAGTTAAGATATAAGATAATAATCTTATCAATTAAAGTGAATCAATGGGGATTTGATAAGCAGTTTTGTAAGTTCCATTGACTCAAATGAGACTACTCTAACTGTGACATAGCATATTAAAGTAAGGTGATGTTAGAGTAGGACATTCAAATCAAAGGACTTTAAAAAGTTGACTAATCAAATCACCATTGATTCAATGGGCCTATTTTAGTGCAATTTACTATGCTAAGCAAGAGAATTTTGGCCATATGATCTTTTTTAATACATTACAGGAAATCGCAGCAAGAGTACGCCAGTGGACTCCAGCACTATATAGAAGGGAAATCTCAAACATGGACAACTCCTCAGATTAATTCAGGATTCTGACAATAAATGCTTCATCTAAAATTCCCCTTTCTTTGCTAGACTTTCCGATGTTCATGCAAATACTGCAAAGTTTCTGGAACTAGGATAAATGAAAGAAGCTTGGAAAGAAACAAGGAAACAACTTAACCAAGACTGTCTTGATTGAGAGAATAGTCTTTTTTCACACCCATTACCTGTGTGTTGAAGGCCTCTGCAGTCATATTCTTGACTTTTTCCTCAAAACATGAAAGAAATTCTTCTATCTTCCTATCTACTAGATCAGAGCTGGAATAAATTAATTACAGATGTATTTTTGTGGCCACAACAATCAAAAGATTAGTCTCAGCAGAACAGAAATCTATCTGGAGTGTTAACGCTTTTCAGAAAGACAGCTCTTGAATGTTGTTTTTGTAAATACGCAGAAGTATATAAAATATAGCTCTACAACATATTCAGGTTCAAAACCCATCCCTACAACTTGGATAATAATAATAATAATAATAATAATAATAATAATAATAATAATAATAATAATAATAATAATAA